TCTAGGCAAGGCCAGCAGAGTTTCCATAAACCTAGCCCAGTTTGGCACAAAGAAGCTGTGGAAGGAGCAGCCACAGCTTGTACAGCCAAAAGCACTTGTGGAAATCCTAGGAATGTGAACCAGAAGAATCGCCCCAGGTCCCCGGGCGCTGTTCTCACAGCACACTTAGCGCACTGTGGGGCTGGACAAACAGCCCTTCCTGCTGGGCGCAGCTCTCAGCCTGAGGCTGGAAGCACCACGGGAGGTGGCAGCCTGGACGCGGGGTAATGTAGTAGGTGCAACAAAAGGCATCAAATTAGAAAATGGAAACTTTTCCCTCCCTGCACTGTAATTTGCCTGTCACTTGGCTTTAAAGCAGCTGAAAACAATTTTTTGAAAGCGAATGTTTATTTCCTGAAGTCTTGTGAATAATTATAGGCCTGTTCTCTACATACTCGACATTCCACTGGCATTTCCCATAACTCTGTCAGCTCTGGCAGTTCCTAGCACATGTGTATGTTGGTGCTTTGCATGAAAAGGGGCTGCTGTTGAATGTGTGGCACCTTTGATTGGAGGCGTGTGACATGCTCTACCTACAACTCAGCAAACTCAATGTAGCGTGTGTGTGTGTGTGTGTGTGTGTGTGTGTGTGTGTGTGTGTTTCCAAGTTCATTTTCTAAATGCTAGGAGTAGGATCTACCGGGAAAATTCCTGATTTTACATCTGTCTTACCGCAGGAAGAGAAGGGCAAACTAATGAAATTTTTATGAGCTGTGCTGCCTAGTGTTCACGGACAACTCTTTGCCTTTCTAGGGGAAGCTTTTGACCCCACGTGGTGAGGGAGTTTGTAACCCGATGCTATTGTTGGAATAATTATAGTCTAAGGTTTTCCTGTCAGCACCCAAGTTAGCTCAGGAAAGTTATATATTTTGAAATTCTTGTACCTCGTCCTCTAAAAAATATATGCTCTGCAAAATCAGGTGGTTGAAGGCCAATAAGTTGGTCATAAAACAGCTCTCACATCGCCGAAAGGAATGACTGAGATGTACATATGTGTATCAAGTTCCGCAGTGTCATGTACACTTAATAGAATTATTGATGGCCCGTTTATAAGGATTTCTTGGTAGAGGAGTTCAGTTGAACAGTATTTCTTCTGAATGTTGGAATTCATATTTGGAATTCGGATTTTTATTATAATTAATAAAATAAGTCTGACATTAGAGTTGCACCACATTTTAGATAAATACTTTCTACCTAGTACTTTAATGTAATTTCGGTTTTTACTACTATCTTTCAGGGAAATTTTTATCCTTATTTCCAGAGGGGGAACTAAAATGTAGAGGAATTTCATGGCCCTTAGATTGAGCATGTGTATGAGAAGCTTTTTCAGGGCGCTCCTCTTAAATGTTAGATTGGTTCAGGGCTTACGGCCTTTGCAAATCCCCACATCCAGCCTATGATCCCTTGTGTGAGTTTTATGAATGAGCAACAGTAGTTTCCTGTTTTTTATTTTGTCATCCGGGACAGTACAGGTTGTTGTTCTGTTGTATGCTATTTAGGAACATTTTCTATAATTTTTAATTATTTAAAAACGTATTTGATTCCCAAACTCCTGTGCTATAGAGATACCTGGAATTTTTGGCAATGAGACTTGTATACAGGTGTCTGTGCGTTGGTGCAGTTCTGTGGGAATAAAGGTATTTAAAAATGGTCAGAACTGTACATTGGCTTAAATTTAATAACAGCACCATCTTTGAGCTCGTAAAGTGAACTTGTGCTTCTTAGAAAATCACTGTTGGAAAAATGCATCCATAACTTTTTTTCCCATAATTGTGAATGACAATGATGCTTTACTTTTGGCAAACTGATCCAATTGTAATAAACTAGCATTTAAGGCATTGTTTCCCAGAATATGTTTGTGCTATACATATATGGGCATATAAGCTTCTCCCACTAGCTCTCTAAACCATTTACCCTGATCAGGTCTTAAAACTTTTTATTTGCATATTTTAAAAATGTGCATTCCAATAATTAAAATAATTTGAACAAAAAAAAATGACACTCTGATTAAACTGCATTTTACAGCCCGCAGGACCCCTTGGACCAGCTTGGTTTTTACTCTAGATTTCACCCTCGTCCCACCCAGCTCGTTCCTTCACCAACATGCAAGTTCTCCGCGCTCCCCGCCAGCCAGCCAGGCAGATGGGAGCGGCAGGTGCGGCCTTCGTTGTCAGTAGTTCTGATGTGCAAAGGGGCAGCACAGTCACTTCAACTGATCCAACCTCTTTGCATCTTACAAAGTTAAACAGCTAAAAGAAGTAAAATAAGAAGGCAATGCTTGTGGGATGTACAGTGCATATTGGCGGCGCGTGCCTCATTACGATTTGCCTGCTTGCTTCTCCTGCTCAATCATTTCTTTTGAAGGATTTTTCTCTCGCGTTTCTGTCTTCTTCAATTTCGACTTACCGACTTTCTCAATCTCAGCCATATGGGGTTTGTCAGACATGGGTGCAGAGGAAGCTGAGCGAGGTGCGCTAACGAGGGAAGTCCGATCTGCTCAGTGACCGCCGCCGAGTCTGCGGTGTAATTTTTTAAATTGTCACCAGAGGATACCTTTCCACTGATCTCCAGCGAGAGTGGAAGGCAAGGGGAGAGACAGAGAGAGAAACATCGATGTGAGAGGGACACATGGACTGGTTACCTCCCTCACAAGCCCCAACCAGGGCTAGGGATCTAGACTGCTGCCCTTAACCAGAATCAAACTCCAGACCCTTCAGTTCATGGGCGATACTTCAACTGAGTCAAACTGGCCAGGGCTATTGTGTGATATTTATTTCACTGTACTTCAATGCAAACTCCTCAAAGGAATCTTACTCTATTTTGTGCACTGATATACTCCACATAGTAGGTGTTCTATAAGTATTTGTGGAAGGACAGAAGGAATAAAAGAAGTTTGGTTTAGATCTGTGTTACTTGCATTTTGTAAGTCCCTGACTAATACATTCAGTCAGTACTTTGGTAATTACCTTCCACACTCCTTCCCACCCCCTGGCCATCTTTAATTGCTCAGTAGACACATGAGTGCTAATTAACTACTAAATATTTTACAGTGTGCAATATGGTGGTGATCTAAACTAAAATATTTGGTCCTCACCCTCAGAGGCACAGGTGGTTGAAAACAACAAACAAAAAATGATACACATATAATTCAGTGCAAAATTTAATTTCCGTAAAAGTCCAGAGGGAAAGGACATCAGCAAAGTTATAATAATTATAGAAGGCTTCCTGGAACAGAAAGGGATTGTAAAATTGGAGAATCATGTAATTATATTATATAATTATTTTTACTAGGATATATCATGTATTTTATCCTTTGTTGTTAAAGAGTGTTTGGTTTTTCATAAAAAGAATCACTACTACTAGCTCTCAAACTGGCTGACTACAGCTTCTAACCAGAAAGGAAGGCTTGTCAACAGATTTCACTTTCTGCTAGACTTACATCAAGAATAAGCTGTTAGGAGAAAGTAGGGAGGTCTATATGATTTTATTCTCTAGTAAATCAGTCAAATCAAAACTCAGGGATATGATGTGGCAAAGAAAGCAGGAACCTCAGGCATGTCAAGTTTTCCCTGGAGGGAAGCCACATAGGCAGGCAAGCACAAAAGCCACATAATCACCTTATTCATGACTTTGAGTTCATCTCTGCTGCTATCGATTGGCAAGCACTTGGAAAGAGAAGGTAGTGAATGACACTCTTAGAGAAAAGCTTAAATATATTCCCTAGTTAATTGAAAGGCTTTAACACATACCAGGCTTCAGGCAACCCAAGAACAAAGGCTGGAATTTATCATAGGTGGAAACAGAAGAAGGTAAGATCATCCCCAAATGCCTAGGTTTTATAACTTTTAACTTTAAGTATTACAACCTATTTCTTGAAACTCTCCTCTAGTGTGTATGTTCATGAACATTGTTCTTGTTTGCAGATACCCCAAACCCAGTTGTCTATAGTTTATCAACATAATAAAGATAGAAGGGAACTGTGGTCTTGATAGAACAACGAAGATACCTCTTGCCCAGGACAGCATAGAATCCATGTTCATTCATTTATTCAGTCACTCAACAAATATTTATTTAGCCCTTTCTGTTGTAATAAATAATGATTTGATAAGTGGGGATGGGAAAATAGGAGAAACTTAAAAGTCAGGATGAGAAATTAAATGTTCAGTGTCTTAAAGTAGAGAACATTGCTACTACGAACAGAGAAGTGTCATAATGGGTTAGTGAAGATCCTGGACAGGAGGGAGGGAATCAGGATTAGAGGTAGGAAACAGAAAAGGCCAGACTAGAGGTATAGCAGCAAAAAAAAAAGGGGGGGGGAGGGAGAGAGGTGATAGGAGACAGCTATGAAACATAAATAGGGCGCAGTAATGACTGGATAAGAACCATGGGAAATTCTTTTTTTGCAAAGCAATAAGAACAGAAGCCTGATTTGAGGGTATGGCAAAGAAAATGGAGGCAGCAGATATAGGCTCCTTATTTGAAAAGTTTGACAGTAAAAGGGGAAAAATTATAGCAGTAGCTAGAGGGGGCAGCTGGGTCATTTTCTGTGAGAGCAGAGAGCATTCTTGTTTGAAGGCATGGGATGAAAGCTGTGAGGAGGCATTGAAGATGCCTCGAGGCTTAATTGAGAATTAAGGTCTTGATGGTACTGGGAGGAGAGGAGCAGGGTGGCACAAAGGAGCTCTGAGATTTAGAGGGGGAGAGGGACCTGTTTCTTGAGACAGAGACAAGGATAAGAAGTGAGAAAGTGGTGTCACTGAGTCACTATAATTAAATGCGCCAACAGATGATGACTTGATCTTACCTATGATATAAATGCTAAAGGCAGTATTTGAGGAGCGTAATAACTTGTCTCTTATTATAACTCTATCATGACAATGAAGGCATATTCTTAGGCCCCCCTATAATTAGAATATATCTCTCCTTCCCCAGTTTAATTTCCACTGAGTTTCGAACTCTGATTTTTACCAAAATGTCTTCTCTTCGGCAGACTTGTTTTACCCTCTTCATCTTTTATGTACTTGCCCTGCCAGCCCACGTCACTGTCCTGCATGCTGCGTAGGTGCTCCTGGGGTCACCGCTCCCTATCCTGTTACTCTGGTTCCTTCTTTTGTGGAAAAAAAATTACCTCTTTAAAGATCACCACAAATTAATATCATTTGATTCTTGACTGTGCTGTCATCCTTTCTTGATTTTCAATTTGATTTTTACTCAGAGCATGATGTATTTGCAGATTAATAATAGTACTTCCCTTTTCCATTAATCATGTTCTATTTTTCTATTTCCAAATATGAGTCACTTAAGCTAGTGGGCTCCAAAGGTGGTGGTGGGGAGGTACACAACCCACTGGGTAAGGAAGAAGAAATACAGAAAGTATTAGGATTTCCTTCTTTTTATCTAAAAACAAGACATTTTTTCCCCTAATACATAGCATGTAAAATGAACTAGGACCTCTTATTCAGTTTGTATTCACAGTGTCCTATATCACATATGTTATGCAAATATTCAGCATATCATAGTGCATGTGTGCCTGGTTTAGGAAGTCTGTGCATGATACTATCCACTTCAATACCAGACCATTCTTCATTGAAAAGTACAGGTAACTTCACAGGATCCTGGCAGAAAACCCACAGAGTCAAGGTCTAGCTCATAATGCAAGCACAAGCAAACAACCAGACATCGGCAGAGCTGTCACCATTATTTTGCACATAAGCTCAACAGAAGCCAGTGTTCATGAAAAAAAAAGTAAGCCAAGAGTAAAAATATCTGACAAGTAGTTAGACGACAAAATTGAAGTTATTGAGAGGATTTTTTCCAATACAGGTGAAGGCATATCATCATTAAGGATGGCTATAACCCTAAATGTATAGTCGGCTAGTTACTAGTTAATGATAGTACATGCGTATAATTTATAAATATGTAGGTATTGGGGAATTTTGCTCAACATCCTTTTACTAATGGAAGTGTGTCCTAACAGTTTGGAGACCTCTGATCTAGTGCATTTTTTATTGGAGAATATGAAGAGTTTTTAATGATTTAACAAAATGTTAAGGTTCTTGCAACTATAAAATGCCGCTTTGAATATAAAAGATTCACATGACTTTTAAAAATATGCTTATTTATCATTAAGCCACTACACAGCAGAATTCAAAAGAAGCCTCACTGCTGACAAAGATTAGTAAAATGCCCGTAGGGTGAAGATGAACAATGTGGTGAATGGCCACACAGCACGGGCCCTGATTTTTAGGTAAAGTTACTATTCTCTACACATAGCATAGTGTGTTCAAGTAGCCACTGTAGACTCTTGGCCTTGGTGGAAGGGACCGTAAATACTCTTTGCAAGTTTAATTTCACTGTTACCATAGTTTTAAATGTCCTACCTCTAAAGTAGCTTTTTTTTAAGGTGATTCATTAATGGATATGTCCATTTGGAGCTTAATTTTTCCCCTTGGAATACTTACAAAGGCTTATGGAAAAGAGCCTACTCAATGGTCCTATTGTGTTGGGATACAAGCACTCTAATAATTGTGTCATCAAAGGGAACAGAGCCCTTATCATGTATTATGACCACCTGCCACACTACATTTTCCATGATGACAGAGATATTTTTTCTTTTCCTTCAATCAGAATGGGGCACAATTGCAAGTTCAATTCCATGGACTGCTATTAATTCAAGTGGACTATTACATCCAGCAAGAATTCTATAAACTGCATTTTCTTTCCAAGATTTTAAAAGCTGTAGGCAGACCCCTGGGTGTAGGTATCCTTACATTTCAAAATCGAAATGAGCCTTTGCATTTTATTAATGTTTTGTTTAGAAATTAAGAAGATAGATCCATGAATCATTAGTTAGCCCTCATCGGTATGGTCATGAATACTATTCAACTGAAAAGACTATTATGAATTTTTTTATTATAAAAATAATTTTAGAAATAGAAAATGTCTATAGTAATGACTGCTTAGAGTTATATAGTACTATTGAAAAGTTTTCAAAGTACTTTAGAGACTTATTAATTCTCACTTTTCTCCCTGGAATGGCCAATGAACAGACTGAGAAAATTGAAGCATCAAAGTCACATGATACTCCCAAGGTTCATTAGTAAGCGATGAAGAAGCAAAGGATACAACCCAGAATCACATTGTGACAGAGTTCCACTAGACCAAGAAGCTATCTAAGCTATAAAGTTAGAGTATTTAACATAAAGATATTTAATGCATTCTACTCCACTTAATAAAACTAGTTTCAATTGGACTGTGTACTATCAAACTGTCTTTTTATGGATTACATGATTTTTGAAAACAGATTTCTTCTAAAATAGTAATGTTATGCTATTTTGAAATAAAAATCTTGAGATGCATACTACTAGGATAAATATTAATTAAGCAGCTAGTATGAACCTCTTTGTGAAATCTAGACTTTAATATACAAAAGATCATGGGCCCATAAGGAGAGCTCAGAGAACAC